CTGACTCTTGCTAACGAACTGTCATGTATTGCATCCCCTTCCTGTCAGTTCTTTCTCTGCTTCCACAATATACAACCCTACAAGTCTACACAATGCTTTCTACCTATAGTAAACCCAGATGGGAGCTTAGTCTAAAGGCACAAGTGGATTCATACCCGTCTGGACCGTTTCATTATATATGAGCCCAGAGGAGTGTGCGATCAGAAGCTGGAATACTTAACTAGACAGGTGGATTTTGGGGGATTTGGAGGTGGGCCTGGCATATGCCAGTTGGAAGCTTGTTCAGTGAGATTGGGGTGGTCTGAAAGAAGGGACAAAGTCATGATTTAGCAAAGAAGATGGGAGTGGAACTTGGTCAGATTGGAGGAAGCTTATGAGGTGTACGAGGGTGAAGCTCTGAAGCCAAGGTGGAGGCTGTACGGCAGCAGCATGTCCTTTGTGTGTAGCAAGGCGTGAGGCCACCAGCCAATTGCCTCCAATGCTCTGGAAGTGCTATTCTTATCATTTAGCATCTCCTAGTATTGTACTTATGACTTCATTTCATTGTCTTTGATTGAGAAAAATATGTTGATAAAGTCTCACTAAGTGCCACCCGGTCGGGTGTCTCAGAACTTCATTGGCTGGAACTTTTGTTTGCCAGTTGAATTTCTGAGTCCTGCTTATTTTCAGTATCATTCACTAACTGGGGCAAAAATGACTGTGTTCCCTTGAAATAGCCATTAGCTTTTGTATCTGTGCCACCATCCAAACTTAAGACTCCAGCATTTATAAATAAAGTTTATAGGGTCTTTACTCTGGCTTAGAGTTCCTCGTTCACACTTCCTTCCTCCTTAAATGCCATCTGTGCTCCCTATTTGTTTATTCCTGTCACCCAGTATAAATCCCACACTAAAAAGGCTGCAATTCCAGCTCCCTGCATTGCAGGATCTGTCCTGCTTCATTGTACACAAGCCATCAAGGTTTTCTACATAAAACATTTTGTACGCAAGCCCTTCTCCTCTTTTCCCTATGAGAAGATTTCATCTAGAAATAAGAAATGCCTGTGTCTGAAATGGAGGAGAGGCTGTTAATTTGGCTTTGGGATTAGCAGCCTGATTTTTCATCCTAGCAGTAAGGCCTGTGGTATCCTGACTCCTTTCTCTGACCTCTCTATGCAGGTGTCCAGATCCATGAGCGGACAAGCATCAGCCATGTCATGGTCCAAAAGGGTTGCGTGACTGGAGTGGAGACTGACAGAGGACAGATTGAATGCCAGTATTTTGTCAACTGTGCTGGGCAGGTTAGATTTGATGGGAATTTCCCCCTCTGTGTCCTCTTGTAAGGACTCCAGTGTATTCGGTAGCTGTAATAGCAGAGGAGGAGATCATTCAGTACCAGCTAAAACCGCATGTCACGTTTCTTCAGAACGAACGAACACTTGTCAGCCCCAAAAATAGGAAAATATTGGTTACGTCCCCAAATAGCTGTGTTTACACCCTCTCTCTCCATACTATCTCTGTCCTAATTAGAGCAGTCCTAATTAGCAGTGCTAAGTTTCTGCCACCCATGTATTTGCTTTTAATCGTATTTTTACTTTATAAAGAAATGTATATGTTCTGTATTTTCTCTGCAGTTTCATACATTATTATAACGTTAAGGTTCACTTTGGCCTGGTCTGCGGAAGTACATCAAAGGCATGCTATTCAGTGCCCCAGAATGGTAGCTCTATCTAAGAGGAGACTAGTGCATGCTGTTTGCTTGGCACTGCAATCTAAGTGGCAACCTGCTGAGAGGCATTCTGCAATGTGGCAATACACACCTGCCAAATCTCACTCAATGGGAGGGGCACATCTTTCTGAGGTGAAGGACTTTGCTGTGGCTCTTAATGAGACTATTGAATCTCCATAATTTTTCTGGAAATCTCCCTCATTCTAAGGTCACAGCTTGTCAGCCCTGAAGATATATTTGCCAGTTGATGTTTCTCAGCCTGCAGCTGGCCATCTTGGTAACATGGAACCCCAGCAGACCAGGAGGCCATTAGAAGAATCATTGTCTATTATGTTTTCTTTGGAAGCCAAACCAGTAGTGATTTCACAGTATAAATTGTTTTGTTTTGTTTTATATCATGATAGCACCTAAAAGCTTCAATCATGGACTAGGCCCCCATTGTGCTAGTTGCTGTTCAAACACAACAAAAAAGATGTTCCCTTCCCCAAAGAGTTTATAATCTAAGCAGAGAGGGGAAAAAAGTAAATAATTCCTTCTGTCTAAGGCAATATTACAGAAGCATAGACATTGATTTGCTCTCTGGTGCTGTAGCAAAAACACTCAGATGAAGACAAAATATGCATGGGACTCAGCTTTCTCCCAGTCACTTCCACCCTAACTAAGCCTTTCTGGTTTCAGTGGGCCTACGAGCTGGGTCTCTCCAATGAGGAGCCTGTCAGTATCCCACTGCATGGCTGTGAGCACTTTTACCTCTTGACACGTCCCTTGAAGAAGCCACTAGAGAGCAACACACCAAGTGAGGACTCTTCCACTCTGATTTATTTTGCTGGTGAACTATCTCTGTCCTTCCAAAGGCAAGGCTGGCTGGAGAGGCAGAGCTGATGGGTGCAGACATTTTCCATAGTCCTGAACTCTGCCAGGAATGTGCCTTGCGTTCAGGCTCACTTATTCTGAGTGTTCTCTTTCGGAGTTGAGGTGGGGAATAGCTGTCTATTTACTCAAACAAACTCTTGCCACAAAAGATGAGTTCTTTTGGGTGTGCCAGCTCAGATAGCAGAGATTGTGGCTCGGGAATGATTTTGACTCTTGCTTTGAAAGTAGTTGATGCATCCATCAGAGATACAACCATGCACCACATGCTCTGGAAGGATGGTGCTAACCTTGCTATTATGTTCTCCTTGGAGGCTGCTGTGCCCATATGGGCCATGTATTTCTCTCTTTCAGTTGAAGTTAAGGCTTTACAATGGCATTGGCATGTCATTGAGCAGTAGGGGGCAACCACAGCACTTGGGATAACAACCCTTCCCTCCCCACATGCCTGGCATTTGGCTCCCTTGAAGGAGAGCGCACATATGGATACCAGGGCTGGGAAGTGGAAAATGTGTCTCTCTCACTCACACTCACACACACACACACACACACCCTTGTCTCTGTCATTCTCTAGCAAGCATTTCCGCAACTAGTAAGTAATGTTTATGCTCCTCTGGGAACCCAGTTCTCTGACCAGAGGGCCTGATTCACTCTCTAGTGAATTCTCTTCACTGACTGATTTGTGAGTCATTTTTGTATTCCCAGCCTCTCTGTGTGGGGAGCACAGTCTATTTTGATATAAGCTGTAATTTGTCCTGCACTTCCCCATCCTTCCATACGCTCTCATGTTTCCTCTGCAGCTATTGTGGACCTAGACGGCAGGATCTATATCCGCAGTTGGCAAGGTGGCATCCTCTCAGGGGGCTTTGAGAAGAACCCCAAGCCCATTTTTACTGAGGGCCGGAACCAGCTGGAGATTCAGAATCTGCATGAGGACTGGGATCACTTTGGTACGCTAATCAGACAGGGTTTACAGCAGGGTGTATTTGATTTAAATCACTAGTCAGGAAGACTCAATTTAATAATGGGTTTCTACATAAAAGTGCATTCTTGTTGGTTATTATAACCGTAATACATATTCTTCACAACTCAGAGATAGATGTAGGTTTCATTTTTAGAAGGTACACACTATACATTTTTAAAGTGGTTTACTTTTCAGATTAGTTTTACAGCTATATCAGAAAATGAATGATTGTTTGGTTATTTCATTTACTAAAGGTAATTGAAGCAGATATTTATGAAGTCATTGGGAGGTGAACTATCTCCAATTCAACAGCAACAGAGGGTCCTGTGGCACCTTTAAGACTAACAGAAGTATTGGGAACATAAGCTTTCGTGGGTAAGAACCTCACTTCTTCAGATGCAAGTAATGGAAATTTCCAGAGGCAGGTATAAATCAGTATGGAGATAACGAGGTTAGTTCAATCAGGGAGGGTGAGGTGCTCTGCTAGCAGTTGAGGCGTGAACACCAAGAGAGGAGAAACTGCTTCTGTAGTTGGATAGCCATTCACAGTCTTTGTTTAATCCTGATCTGATGGTGTCAAATTTGCAAATGACCTGGAGCTCAGCAGTTTCTCTTTGGAGTCTGGTCCTGAAGTTTTTTTGCTGTAAGATGGCTACCTTTACATCTGCTATTGTGTGGCCAGGGAGGTTGAAGTGTTCTCCTACAGGTTTTTGTATATTGCCGTTCCTGATATTTGACTTGTGTCCATTTATCCTCTTGCGTAGTGACTGTCCAGTTTGGCCAATGTACATAGCAGTGGGGCATTGCTGGCACATGATGGCATATATAACATTGGTGGACGTGCAGGTGAATGAGCCGGTGATGTTGCAGCTGATCTGGTTAGGTCCTGTGATGGTGTTGCTGGTGTAGATATGTGGGCAGAGTTGGCATTGAGGTTTGTTGCATGGGTTGGTTCCTGAGTTAGAGTTGTTATGGTGCGGTGCGTGGTTGCTGGTGAGAATATGCTTAAAGTTGGCGGGTTGTCTGTGGGCGAGGACTGGCCTGCCTCCCAAGGTCTGTGAAAGTGAGGGATCATTGTCCAGGATGGGTTGTAGATCACTGATGATGCATTGGAGAGGTTTAAGCTGAGGACTGTAGGTGATGGCCAGTGGAGTTCTGTTGGTTTCTCTTTGTGGCCTGTCTGCAAAAAGGTAAATGCCAGCTCCACTGCTGGCTCTTTG